ACCACTAGTCACCAGTCTCCACCCAGACATTGAGCTGTTGACCACAACTCTTTGAGTGTGACCATCCAGCCAGTTCCTTATCCACCGAGTGGTCCATCCATCAAGCCCACATGTCTCTAATTTAGAGATAAGGATGGCATGCGGGACGGTGTCAAACACCTTGCACAAATCCAGGTAGATTACATCAGTCGCTTCAACTTTATCTACCAGTGCTGTAACCCTGTCATAAAAGGCCACCAGATAGGTCGGGTATGACTTGCCCTTGGTGAAGCCATGTTGGTTGTCACCAATCACCTTCTCATTCACTATGCGCCTTAGCATAGTGTCTATTGGTTGTCACCAATCACCTTCTCATTCTCTATGTGCCTTAGCATAGTGTCTAGGAGTATCTGCTCCATGATCTTGCCTGGCACTGAGGTGAGACTGACCAGCCTGTAGTTCCTCGGGTCTTCCTTGTTACCCTTTTTAAAAATGGGGGGTATGTTCCCCCTTTTCCAGTCTGCAGGAACTTCACCAGACTGCCAGGACTTCTCAAATATGATGGATAGTGGCTTCGCAACTTCATCCACCAATTCCCTCAAGACCCACGGATGCATCACATCAGGTCCCATGGACTTGTGCTCCTTCAGGTTTCTTAGGTGCTCCCAAACCTGATCTTCTCCTACAGTGGGTGGCTTTCATTCTCCCAGACCCTTTCTTTGCTTTCTAGGACTTGAGCAGTGTGCAGCAAGCAGCCCTTGCCAATGAAGACTGAGGCAAAAAAGTCATTGAGCACCTCAGCCTTCTCAATGTTTATCTATCTATATATATGGCACATAAATCATGTTTTTCTGTGACCTATTGTCCTTCATGGGCCTGCCGCCTCTAGAAGGCTACATTTTCCATGCTCCACTGTTTATATGAGAGAAGGAAGGTTGGTGCATGGCAGAAGACACAGTTCAGCCATTGAACTTGACCAGCCATAAGAAAGAAAGGGACCACCTTTTTTGAATACAAATTCAGCTTACAATTGGGATCTTCATTTTCAGGAAATGCCCATCCCTCTGAAAAGTATTTTTTGGAAAAAAAAATGCTGAAAAATATGTTTTACTGACACTAGGCAAATTCATGACAGTCACTCACACTGTATAATCAGAAGGTGAAATACATCTAAGTAATATAAGAAAGTTTCAAAATACCACAATGTTCCCTAGATGTCTTCAGGCTCTATTGGGATTTTATTAGGTTCCCTGAAACAAGGAGAGAAGCTTTCCAGGAAATTGAACTAGCAGGTCTTAGCACCAAGCTTCACATCCCTCCAAGCTGATGCTCAGTTGCCAACATCTGTCCTGCTTCTTCATACACTGCGGAAGTGATGTCAATGAGTTCCCTTTCCAACATTTCCATTTGAGCTGTGATGTCTGACACAGTGTTTTTCACAGCAATCAGCTGCATCTTCAATTTATTATAATCTTCTTGGAAGGACCTGCTCACATCATAGAGAATGTGACAACCCTGTTTCTCCCCAAGGAGATGGTTCACTTTCAGGAAGATGTGGAGGAGTTGGTATAAGTCCTGGAGAGCACGGAGGATTTCATACTCGCCCTGTATGCCTGGGGCAGACTTGATCTTATTCTGGGTTGGAGTGGTGCTCTTCTTTTTAGCTTTGTATTCCTGCTGGGGGGATGGGCCAGGGTTACCTTCTTCCACATTTGTGATTTTGGCAGTGTCCTTCTGAAGATCTGAGCTAGCATCTTTGCTCTCTTCCTGGACTGTGATGGCTTTTTGGTCTTTGAAGCTGATGGGGACTGTTTTATTCTCCTGATGGAAATCTTCTAAAACTCCATTAATTTCCTGGACCATCTGAAGAGCTTTGTGGCCTGGGCTGACCTGAAAGCCTATGTTCCTCTCTTGGAAGAATGGGAACAGCTCATTTTCCTTCTGGAGGCTTTGCTGAACAGCATCAGTGTTAACAACGTTGATGTTGTTGTGTGGCTGGAGACATTGTAGAGCCTTGTTTTCTTCCCAGAGCATCCTGTTTTTGATCTGGAGGAGTTGGGTTTTCTCCCAGAGCACTCTGTTCTCCTCCCAGATGCTCCACTCATTCTGTACCTTCTTGTTAAAGAGTTTCTGGTGGGAAGCAAAAGGTGGCTGGCAGGAGCTCTCATTCACCCATTTATCATCAATAAAGTCACACATCTCATCCCTCAGTTTAATCCGTGGAGCAATATAGTTTATCTCAGGCTCTGTATACTGCATGCTCTGGTTTGCTGGATCAAAAGCAGACATGATCTTTTTTTAGTAAATTGAGGAGGATTGTGGGAAAATACTTCTTCTAGAACTTCTGCAAGAGGCCACTGTCCACTGGCAAGGAGTAAGTGACACAGCGGGGCTGGAGAAGCTTGATCAGGACTGAAAGAACAAAGAACAGAATTACTGCCAAAATTCAAGGTCAGAATTAAACTCCATTGGACAACCGGAACAAGCAAGTAAGTCAGTTCCCACAGTCAACCATGTTGCCCCTTTGACTCTGGAAGATAAGGAATACACCAGAAACATAGTTTATAGAAGCTGAGAAAATTGGCATCAGTAGATAAAGCAGCTCTATGGCAGAAACACAAGCTTTGGTGTAAAAACTCAGGCTCTCCTTTTATTTCTCTGCCTCATTTTTACAGACATTCAAGGGGGTAAGATGCAAGAGTACATCAGAATAGCCGGTTCCCAACTGAGTGACAGGCAAAAGAATTAAAAATTGTTAGGGGGCTGACACCAACTTTTCAAAAGAAAACATTTTTGAAGGATCACAGTGAAAACCTGTCCTTCAAGAGCAGCCTTTTCTCGTTGATGCTGAGTAGCCATTGTTAACAGGATGCCACAAAAATGCAGTTGCAGTTGTGCTTTTTGATCTTAAAATCCACAGAACTGTGGAACATGGAGAGTGCTAAATGATGCAGTACACACAAATAATTGAAACTCCAAATCACAGCCCTGGGACATCAGGACCAGGAGAGCTCTGCTGCTCCTTGCATGTTTTTCTGACAAGTTGCCATCACCATGGTCCGAAAACTGTCATCACCCATAGGCAATTCTCCACCTTTCCTTCTCATTTCTCCCCAGTCACTCTTTTTTTTACATCCTTTGATAGCTTCATTATTTTTCTTGCTTTCTAGCCTTGCAATAGTGATTGCTCATCTCCTTCCTACAGTCCATCTGCCTCTTTTTGACATCACTGGAAAACTCATCTTTTTAAACTCCATACTACGGGACTGTACCACCAGTGCTTCTCATTTCAATCACAGAAACCTCAGACTTATTTGCTCAACACTTCCCTCCTCTCTACCCGAAATGTTGCAGCTTAAATCACCTTCCAGTCATAAATTAACCTTGGCAAATTAAGGATTTCAGTCTTTTTGCATGAAAAAACAAGTACCAAAAAATGTGGTTTGTGCTAAAGAAAATCTTATTTTCTGCAATTTTTACCAAAATTAAATTTGTATGATTTTAAAGATGAAGTCATTTGAATTGAGGTTGAACTATTTTTAATAACCAGATTGTTGGAATTCTTAGGGTTTCTGTGCAGTGTTTCAAACAGCACAGATGTGCTTTTTTCTAGTTTATAAATAAATAAATCAATAAATAAAGTAAAAGAGGTTGGTTGTCACATTTCACCCAGGTTTACACCTCTCCCCCATTGAGGTCCCTCAGCTGCCCTCCTGTGCCTTGTGAAACCCAGTTCTGCCTTGCTGTCAGTGAGGAGAGCTTTATCTGCATGCAATTTTGCCCCTATGTCTCTGCCCTGAGCATTAGGCATGGGCTGACAACCAGGCACAAGCTCCTCATACCCTCCAGCTCTGCCATCACATTGTGCACCCCCTGTCCTGTTTTCACCCCCCCTTTTCCCTGCTATCTCCACCACACAGCACTGCATCTCTGGGCCCCTCCAGGTTACTTCTGAGAGCCAACATCCATGGATGCTTCCTTCTTCCTCTTCCCAAGCCTGTCCAAAAGCTCAGAGATTTACTGGTTGCATTTAAAATCCAAAATCCCTTAAAGCAGAAGAGGGCAATTGCAATATAGGTCTGTTTGCAGTAACACTTGATTTTATTGCAATAGGGTCTCTTTCAGACTTTCAGGGTTGTCTTCTGCATCACCATCTGATTTATCTCACTCAGACTCATGTTTTCATAATATCATTCCTGTGCTAAGAGAGATTTCCCCCAAAACTCACAGTTTTGGAGGGTTTATTTCCCACTTATGCCATGTTCAGAGCTATATATCACTCCCTTCCCTTGCACCCTCTCCCTCACAGCCTTTCCAACCTGTCCTATTCCCTCAGGGTGCCCCAGTCCTGGTGTTTCCACTGTCAGCCCCAGGATGAGGAGGTACATCAGCAACAGGGGGAACTGACCCCTAAATATCCAGAGGAGAAGCAGAAAACATCCAGCATCTCAGCCCAGACCCACCTGCCACTGCATACCATGGACAGGCAGCTAGAGTTGTTTAAGTCACTCAAAGTGTTTAGATGGTAAGTTTTCAGGATAAACAGAAATGTATAATATATATGGCATTGAAGGACCTTATTCTGGGGACAATGAAACTTGACAGCATCTCTGTCAGCTTTTTTGCACTGCAAGGGAGACATTGACCCAGGCTTCAGAGAGGCATTTCAACTCCTCCCACCTCCCATACCATTTCCCCCATCTCTGAACTACTTAATCCCAGGAAATGCTGGGCAGCTGGGGTGGGCAGGCACATGAAATTCCCCCCAAGCCGGCTGGGGGGAAGCCACATGAAATTGGGCTGGGCAGGGTAATTCGGCAGTGCTAAATTACACCCCCGGCACATGCTCACCTGCTCGTCGTGGCCAATGATCCCTCTCCTCGTCCACTCTGAGGTCCTGCCACTGATGCCGTGTCCAGGGACACAGTGGGGGACAGAAGGGACCGATTGTGATGCAAGCACTGAGGACTTTGTCCCACAGCCAGCCCCTGCCCTGCCCTGGGAGGCTGGGAGCTCCCGCACACCCTCCTTGCACAGCCTGCTTCTGTGCTCCTTCCCTGCTGGCCTCCAAGGATTTTCCTTGACTTTTCACAGCATTGCGCTTTTGAGTTATTTCTCATGGAAATGACCTTTCTGGTAGCTCAGCTCTCATACCCTTTCCTGATCCCAGACTTCCTGATCTGCCTTTGATGCTCATAGCTGAGGACAGTTTGGGTGAATTCTTTCTCTATCACACCCTCTTAAAAATACATTTTATTTTTATTCCGAATCTTCATATTATGTTTGTTGCTGAACTGATATTGATACATTCAAAAATCACTGCCTTACATGCACTATGAGACCTGAAGTTATTTTCTAAGGACAACATGGATTTGGAGTTCTTATTTTACTATAAGTTTAAGAGCAGACTATCAATGAACCCTATTAAGAAGCTGTGGTGGTTTGATGAAGGACAGGGACGGTTTACTCACCAGTTATGGTCACAGGGAAAACAGAATCAACTTGGGGAAGAAAAATCAATTTAATTCATTGCCATTCATTCGAGTAGCACAGTGAGACATAACAACCACATCCTACAACACCTTCCCCCACCCCTCCCTTCTTCCCGGGCTCAAATCACTTTGTTCCCAATTTCTCTACCTTCTCCCCGCCAGCGGCACAGGGGGCACGGAATAGGGGTTGCAGTCAGTTCACCATTGCTGCTCTTCCCGGTGTGAAAATCCAGGAACAAAGTGTTCCAAAGTGAGCTTCCCATGGAGTCACAGACCTCTTTGGGCTCAGCTCCCAGCTCCGGCATGGGGACATCCACAGGCTGCAGACTCATGCCGCACACTGGGGTCCACCCTGGCTCTGGCATTGAGCAACTCTTGGGGTCTCAATTCAGTCACACTTCCCTTTGGGCTCAGATTTTCTGCTCCAGCGTGGAGTCCTCCATAGCCTACATGTGGGTCTCTGTTCTGCTGTTGAACTCCATGGGCTGCAGGGACCTCCTTTGCCTTCTCCTACTCCATGCAGTTGAACTGGGTGTATGAGGTTCTCTGTCCTCCTCCTCCTTCTACCTCCTCCTGGTAACAAAGCTCTCTCTTTGTTTAGGCTGATGACTGTCTTGTTCAGGTCAATGGCCTCTCCCCCTGGTTCTCTCCACCTTCTTCTTTCCAAGACAGTCCTTTCCCTCACAAATATGGATTTGTAGATGTGTTTCGCTATTGCTAATTGGCTCAGCCTGAGTTGGGGGGTCTCTGCCTTGGAGCCAGGGGAGCTGTCGATCTCACAAGGTGGCCCTTCCCCCACTACCAAAAACGACCCCCAACCCAACACTGAAGCAAATAGAATTTGCAGAGCATTCTTGCATTGCAAGTTGAGATATTATTTGTAGTAGCTATTCCCACTTCCTTGTCTTTACACTTCTAATGATCTCATTCTCTTTCTTATTTGCTACATCTTTCAAATGTGGATTTCTTTTTTCTAATCAAGATTCTTGAATAATAAATACAGCAGTTAATTTCTTTCCAGTGAAAATCACCAACTTGACATCAGCCTCAAGGTGACTGTTGCTTTAGGAAGTTAGAGGTACAGTTCAGCTTTGGTGTTATACAGACATAATAAACTCAGGTATAAAATTCTTCTCTGTAATTTCTCCTTTGCTTATATTTAATCTTAGACAACAAAAAAACATCACAGGTTACTATGGCAACTCCCCAGGGAGCATTCTCCTTTATTCGAGCTCCAGGATCCTGCACAGGAAAGCAGGAAGATGTCCTTGAAAGAGACAGGAAAAGATTTTATCATAGGGTGCTTGGGCTTGTCCTGCCATCAGATGGGAATTTAAGGGCGCTACTCAGGTGCAGTCAGTGTTCAGCAGAGGTGACTGAAACGGTCAGTCTGAACTTCTGAGGAACTGAGGCTGTGGACCAATGAAACAGACCTTGGTTGAACATTTTAAGGTCTAAGAGCCAACTGGAAACTGAGTTAATAGAAACAAGTGCAGCACAGGACTGATCAGCAAAAAAAGCCTGCTTAAACCAGAGCCATTGAGAACTAAATTAGCAATGTACCTTTGCCTTCTCTCATGCAATATTTTCCTTAAAGTTGGATAAAATTATTCTAGCAAGTAATCTCTTTGTTGAAAATTATTACTTCAAACACCAATATATTTGGATCAAATTCAGTTAATATCATCAGATGTGTGCATGTGCGCATCAGAACTGGAAATGCTGCAACAGCTCACTGCAGAATTTCTTATAGCAGCTGCACTGATTTCTGAGCTGGCCTCTCAAAAGGACTGAGAT